TTTTTTTTTTTTTTTTTTGAGCCAGAGTTTCACTATGTCACCTTTTGGTAGAGTGCTGTGCCATCACAGCTCACAGCAACCTCAAACTCTTGTGCTCAAGTGATTCTCTTGCCTCAGCCTCTCAGGTAACTGGGACTACAGGGACCCACCACAATGCCTGGCTATTTGTTGTTGTTGTAATAGTTGTCATTGTTGTCTGGCAGGCCCTGGCCAGGTTCGAACCCACCAGCCTCAGTGTATGAGGGTGGCGCCCTAGCTGCTGAGCTATAGGCGTCAAGCCTGGTCCCAGACTTTTGAGCTAAGGCAATCCACCATGTTGGCCTTCCAGAGTACTGCGATTAGTAGTGTGAACCACCTCGCCCAGCCTCTCTTACCTGTTTTCTTTGAAAGACCTCCTAGTTCATCACGTTTATCTAGAGAACAGGAGGCAAGAATAAGATCACAATAATTATTAGGGAACCTTTAGAGTGTGTAAGTCCTCATATCCTACTTAGGGATCTTGAGAGCCCTCTTTGGGAAGCAGAAAAGAGAATATGTTTTCCATTTCCCTACCTGTCCCCTGGGTCCTCAGACTAGGGACAGGGCATCATATTACCCTTCTTAATACTCCTAGAGTTTGATATTATTTTCAATAACAAAAATATTTTTGAAGGACATCCCTAATTGTGTCTCCCTCCAATTCTATTCCTTGTCAATCTTCCCTATCCCGACAAAGAATACCACCATTTGTCCAAATTCTAAATTCAAAACTCCAGGAGTGATATATGCCTTTCTGCCATCCCTTTAACAATGTGCTCAGTGCATCAGCAAGATCTGAAATATAGATCTCAAAGTACACCTAAGAATCCATCCCTATCTCTTACTTCCCAGTGGCACCATCTAGTCTAAACTAAAATTACTTCAATCCCTCAGCCCCTAGCAACCACCATACTCTCTACTTCTGTGAGTTTCACTCTGTCAGTTTCCACATATAAGTGAGATTGTACAATATCTGTCTTTCTGTGCCCAGCTTATTTTGTTTAGCATAATGTATGGGAGATGTTGAACAAAAGCACAAATGTTCAGTTATAAGATAAGCAAGTCGGCTCAGCACCTGTGGCTCAAGCAGCTAAGGCGCCAGCCACATACACCTAAGGTGGCGGGTTCGAATCTCTAGCCTGGGTCTGCCAAACAACAATGATGGCTGCAACCAAAAAATGGCCAGGCATTGTGGCGGGCGCCTGTAGTCCCGGCTACTTGGGAGGCTGAGGCAGGAGACTCGCTTGAGCCCAGGAGTTGGAGGTTGCTGTGAGCGTGATGCCATGGCACTCTACCCAGGGGGATAGCTTGAGGCTCCGTCTCAAAAAAAAAAAACAACAAAAAAAAGATAAGCAAGTCGAGTGTGCGGGTGGCCGTGGATGTGTGGATTAGTTTGACCATGATAGCCATTACAGGATGCAGAGGAATACCAAAGCATCACATTCCATACCTCGAATATACAGAAAGTGCCAAAAAATGTTACACGTTTTAAGAAAGGAAAAAACTGTATTTAAATTATTACACTCGACATTCGACATATACTGGTAGTATTTGTTATCTTGTATGTTGTATCTTGTATCTCTTGTAATTGCAGAAGTATTACTTGAGTATTACAGTTTTAATACAGTTTTTTTTCCCTTTCTTAAAATGTGTATACATGTTTTTGGCACCCTCAGGAAATAATCTTCATTTGTCAATTAAATATCTTAAAATAAAACAAAATGTCCTATTGCCTGAAATGTAGCAACTCTTGCTCCATCCAACCCTCTAGTTTCCAAAAGCCGCCAGAAAGACTCTGATAGCATATAAATAAAGCCATGCCACTCTTGCCCTAACTCCATCCATGGATTTCTGTTCTTTCTGAGTAGAATCCATGACCAGATCAAACCCCTGTGAGACCCCACATGCTCTAGGTCCTGCCCTCCCTCTCAACCTCCTTTAGATCCCCTTTCCTTTTCTCTGTCCTCCTTTCTATGTCTCAGTCCTTCCAGGATCACTCACACTTCTGCTTTCTCATTCCCTGGAGGGCTCTTCTCCAGATGTCAATGTGATTGGGTCATTCTCTTTCTTCAATGCTGTGGTGGACAGGCTCCAAAAAGGCCCTCATGAACCCTAACTTCTGGTGCTCACACCTGTGTGTAATCCTCTCTCCTTGAGACTGGGGACCTGTAACTCACTTCTCACCAACATGAAAGGCAAAGGTAATAGATGGACTGTCATTCCCATGATTATATGACATTATGTAATACTGTTTTGCCAGGGTTCTCCTCCTCTGTCTCCCTCTCCCTCGCTCTCCTTAAAAGTTTTGCAGAAGCAATTTGCCCCAAATCCTACAAATGCAAAGAACCAAATATTGCAACGACCACAGGGGTGGGGAAGTGTACCCTTCTCCAGTCAAGCCACCAGATGAGAACCCAGCCCCAGCTGACACCTTGACTATATCCTTGTGAGACCTAAAGCAGTGGACTCAGCTAAGCTGTGCCTGGACCCCTGACAACAGAAACTGTGAGATAATAAATGAGTGTTTTAAGCTCCTAAATTTTTGGTATTTTGTTATGTAGCTGTAGGTTCCTAAAATAATGCCTCTTGGTTATTCTCTACCTATAATGTGTTTTCTAACTAATTTCATATCTTGTTCTTGTTTCTATCTTTCTTCCAAAAGGGATTGGAAATTCCTACTGGCCAGAGACCAGTATGCTCAGAACATACCAAATCATCTGCATCTGAAGGTCAAATGGACAGTCATTTTGTGCCAGGTGTTTACATTAATTTTCTTTGGTAGCAGAATAATTTATATTCCCTTTTCAAAATAAGGAAGAAGTAGTATAATGAAGTGACTTGTAAAGCAGCAAACAGTCTGTATGTGGAAAGCTGACTTGGAAAATGAACCCCTCAACACTGATACTATGCCCGCCTTTGAATGCAGTACAGCCAGGAAGAGGTAAAGAATCAGGAAAGAGTTGATGGCATGCCAGAAAACATAACTGAGAAGTGATAACTCATTGCTGAGTTTTTGGTGTTAATGTATGGGTATAACAACTCTTAAGACTTGAAGGAATAGCTGTTGGGGATACAACGTGAAATGAATATCAGGGTGATGAGCACATTGGTGAAGTATCATTAATCATGATCCTTAGAAAAAAGGTAATTAGAGATGAAATATGATTAAGTGCTCAGTTTCTCACAATGACCCAAGCCCAGGCTTAGCCATTGGGTAGACACATGGCTACTTCTACTAACGATTTTAAGGTTTCTCCAGGGGCTTCCCATTATGCAGCCAACCTGACCTGCTGGAATAACAGTAGTCTTTAAAATATTGTTGAGCAGTTGATGGATGGATGGATGGATGAGTGAGTGGGTGATGGATGTGTGGAGGGGTAGATAGATGAACAGGTGGATCATGGATGAGTAGCTGGATAGGTGAATGGATGGATGGATCATGGATGAGTAGGTGGGTAGGTGAATGGATGGATGAGTAGATGGGTGGATCATGGATGAGTAGGTGGATAGGTGAATGGATGGATGGATCATGGATGGGTAAGTGGGTAGGTGAATGGATGGATGAGGGGATGGGTGGATGGGTGGGTAGGTAGATCAACAGATGAAAGTGATGCAAAATTATTTCTTATCCTCCTCTTGTGATCTCAAATCACTTATGTCATGACCCTCTCACATGTACCTTCCTCCTCTGTCTTTATCATTTTCCTTTTATTTTCCCACCCATCTGCACCATTCCTGCTACACTTTCACATGCAACAAGTTCTCTTAGCCATGTATTTCATTATTTGCCTTCCCTGCATCCTTCACAGAGTTCTACAGCTTATGCTTTAGCATAAAAAGGAAATAATTTTGCATTTATGTTTAAACAGTAACTATGAGGCCAACTGTTTTTCGTGACACTAGGGAGGTCACCTAACCTCTATAAGCAAAAAGAAGCTAACAAAACAACCATCCTCAGAGGAAGTAAGGATTGAATGAGTTAACAGAATAAATTACTTGTCATGGAGAGTGAAACATAGAAAATGCTGTGTACGTACCAAAGGTCAGTCTTGTCACCCTGTCCTCACCTGTCCCCCAGATTTCCAGGCTGTTGCTGGGAAAGGAGCCCAGGTGTGGGGAATCACACTGGTAGTATACACAGCTGTAGTTCCCACTGTCGCTGCTTGCCATATTCCAGAGTGTTAAACCAGTTTGGTTTTTTCTTACTTCCTTGACTTGTGATGGTTCTGGGATCCCATTTTTCAGCAGGACAATTGCCATACATTCAGTTCCATTGTATGGAATCAGACATTGTAGTGTCCTGTGACCTAGAGTTGTCCCAGGGTCTGTGTGGACTGACAGGGAAGGTTCTGGGAGTGATCCTAAAGGGGACAAGGCAGTGGAGGTAAAGGGAAGGGCCAGGGCCTCCCCTGCCCCCCTCCTTGGGGACTTTCTCATCTACTTCTCTATTAACCATATCTCTTGCTTCCTGTAAATGATGCTTTGACATCTTGGGGTCTTGCTGAAGGGACTGTCCTCCCAGGGTTAATTAACTTGTAGAGCTAGTAAACAACTTGCCTTTGAGCATGTTTTTTTCAAATAAACTGCCAGTCACCTCCTGCATTGGGCTCTCATACTCAGGGCTACCACTTTCCTGCCCAAATCATCTGAGAACCACATAGGAGACAATCTGGGACAGATTCTATGCCCAGAGACATTTCTAAGCCTGTTATTTCCCACAAAAGTGCAATGAAAGCTCTCACCCATGGTTTTCCTCCTCCATCTGCCTCCCCACATGGCCCTTCCAGCATGGCATACCCCCTCTTCTCGGGAACTATGAACTATGAGAGGCACTCACCTCTCGATCCTGTGGCTATATTTTACCCCAAATTTTCCATCATCAACTATATTCTAAAACACTCTCCCACATCTGCATCGTTGGGGCCCACTCAGAACACCAGAAGGGAATCTCACTCCACACTCAATTCCTACATTTCTCTACATTCGGGGTCTTGTGTGTATCTTTTTGTCTCCTGGATGCCTTCTCCTTCCTCAGCCAGGTCCTGCCACAGGAAAAGGAACATGTGCATCAAAGGGCAGACATGAGGCATCCTTCTCACCTGTAACCACCAGCCATAGGGGCTCACTGTTGTCAGACCACCCTCGGGAGGCTCCTGTCCTGTAAGCACAGACATACGTCCCAGCATCCCCAGGCCCCAGGTCAGTGAGGGGGAACCCAGCTTCCTCTCCTGCTGAGCTCTGCTCTTGCTGGTACTCTGAGTCCTGTGGCTTCTGAAGCACGAATGTCGTCACATTGTGGAAAGGAGCCTGGCACCTCAGAGTCACGTTGCTGGCACATCCAACCACCGAACTGGGCCAGGCACTGAGGGCAGGCTTGGGAAGCTTCTCTACAAAGAATTTAGAGATTATGGTGACAATGTCTTGGTGACAGTGAAGCCCCTCTTAGAATTCAGGGGATTTAAGGAAAAAGTCACGAAATGCAAGATTCAGGAATAAATAGAGAGTAAGTGGGAGGACTCACCATTTTTTTCATCTTTATAAGCCAGACTCAGCCCTGGAGGAGAAACCACAATGAGAGGGAAATCACATGGCTGCCTGTGAGTACAGATCAGACAGAGGAAGCATTTGTTGAAGACGTGTCAGGTTCCTTGCAGATATTTTCCAAGATTTACTTTTTATCCCTTACTTTTATTCCAGTGTTTGACATTCAGATGTTATGTGTATGTGGAAAATTCCAGTAACCTTTTCTAATATTTTGAACTGCTTCCATGATTAATATTTCTTTCACTATCTATAAATCATTTAACATTGCTTTCTGTTTTCTGCTTGAATTTCTGTGATTGCAGATTTTACCTTTACCACTTCATGAATGCAAAGGTTATATTTCATAACGGGGTGTGTGTGTGTGTGTGTGTGTGTGTGCACGCACACACATGTGGGCATCTCATTCATTCCAACAGAGAGAATTTGCCCTCCCTTCAAGGTATTTTTGGGTCCCAGATGCTTTCCTCACTTGTGGCTTTGATTTGTATCAGATGACAGCCCCTCCCTCTTCTGTACTCTGTTCTCTGAATTCCACTCTGGGAATGGAACTGCGTAAACATATGAGGAAAATGGGACATCAGTTATGGGGCTTGTTTCTTTGGGAAGCTACACTTTCTATAGAGCCCCAAGATTGTTTAAGGACATCTGTCCCTTGGTTTGACCTAGGTGTTGACATGGAACGTGGACCCCTACGATTTATTGAGAAGGAATGAGGTGGACCTCATGGTGAGGTTGGTGACCATGGGCTGAGGTTGCGTTAGTAGCAGGATTGTCTTGGATTGATAGGGAGGACATCAGTTTCTGGGTGATTAGAGGTCCCAGGGGTCAGGGTCCTGCTTTTAGAGTCAGTCATCTCATTGCTGCTATCAACCAAGCTTCTGTTCAAATGATTCCTGTGTTCTTACTAAGTGATCACAATTGCCTGAGTCAAAGACAGTTGAGTGCAATGGCAAAGTCTGTCTTCAGGGAAAGACGCTCACTGGCATCTAGGTTAGCTTGAAAAGACAAAGAATAAAGATAGGCTTATGGTTATCTCTTTGGGGGTATTAGTAAAATTCTGGCAGGGAGGAGTGGCAACATGGGGAACTATACTTTGTGGATGTAATCAGCTAAGCTAATTGGAGTAGGCTGACCTCTAATCCAATAAGACCGGCGTCCTTGATAGAAGAGAAGAGACACACAGATGGAGATGGCCAGGCACAGGCACAGGCAGAGACTGGAGTGATGCCTCTACCAGTTAAAGAACACTAAATATCACCAAGTAGAAGCTGGAAGAGACACTCGGGACAGACTCTCTTGCACAGCCCCCCAAAAGTAATCAACACTGACATCTTGATTTCAGATTTCTGGTCTCCGCTATTGAGAGAGAATACATTTCTGTTGTTTTAAGCTACAGGGTTTGTGGTGCATTGGTGTGTCCACTGTGGGAAATGAGTATGAGGTAGATGAGGTCAGTGTCTTGGTTTACTTATGCTGTGGCTGGAGGTTTTGCCTATGGAGATCGACAGCCACCTCTAGGGCACGAGTGTGTGCAGAGGACAAGCGTTACCCCAGAGGAGGAAGGAAACTGGGGGCGATGAAGCATACTGATGTCCATCACACTGCTCCACTGCACAAGGAGGAACTGGGAGTTAGTGAGGTGGAGCTGCTGGTGCAAAGTCTGCAGGTCCTCTGTGATGGGGCCAAGATTATCATCCAGGTCTCCCTTTTTATAAGCTGAGATCTGATTACATTTGGTTCACACCGAGGATGGCTAAAATTAGCCTAAGGACAGGAGTGGTTAGAAAATCTTCTTCTTGGCCAGGTACAGTGGCTCAGCATGTAATCCTAGCACTCTGGGAGGTTGAGGTGGGAGGATCCCTTGGGCTCAGGAGTTCAAGACCAGCCTGAGCAAGACCGAGACCACTTCCCTAGTGAAAATAGAAAAACTACCAGGCATTGTGGCAGGTACCTTCAGTCTCAGCTACAAGGGAGGATGAGGCAGGAGGATAGCTTGAGCTCAGGAGTCTGAGGTTGCTGTGAGCTAGACCAAGACCATTGCACTCTAGCCAGGGCAACAGAGTGGGACTCTGTGTCAAAAAACAAAAACATTTTTCTTCTCATTCACAGCTTTGCACCTTGTAGATCTTTAAACCCAGCCCTTCCTCACATTCCAATGGAATATTCCTGGCAATGCTGCAGTGGTTAGAGGGCACAGACACTGGGATTTCCTTGAGAGCTCTGCATTTCCCAGCTGAGTACAGGGCGGGCATCCCACATGTCTCTGCATGCTGGTGCCTCATCTCTACGTGTGGTCACCAGAACCAATGCAGGTGACACCTACAGCTCACAGATTCCAATCCAGGTAGGTATAAGTCGCCATCTCTGCACTGGCCATGTTTCCCCGCTTAGCGTCCACTCCCCAGGCAAGCCCCTTCGTCCCGGTCCTGGAACTCACCAAGGCAAAGCAGGGGCAGGACTTCCGTGACCATAGTGTCCCTTCTGCCTGAACCAAGATCTTGTCTTCAGTTTTGCAGTTCAGAGGAGTAGCAGGACTGAACACACACAGCCCTGTCCCTGCCCATTTCACCACAGGACGACGGCAGGGGTAAGGTTTTTGCTCTGGTCAGTTGGTTCTCAGCAACCCCAGTGGGCGGTTTCCTTCTTGCAACCAACTCAGGAAGCAAGAGGCAGAGATGACTGTACCTTCCCCTTAAATGTTACATGTGCCTCCCCCCGTTCTGAGGTGGGCCCTGCCCCAGCTAAAGTCTTGCTCCAGATAGGTTTTTTTTTTTTTTGCTCCAGATAGTTTTTTAAAAATAATTTTTATTGGATGGAAGCAGTTACTCATGCCTGTAATCCCAGCACTCTAGGAGACCAAGGGAGCTCAGGAGTTCGAGACTGTCTGAGCAGGAGCAAAACCCTCATCTCTACTAAAAATAGAAAAATTAGCCAGGCATTGTGGTGGCCCCTATAGTCCCAGCTACTCGAGAGGCCGAGGCAGGAGGATCGCTTGAGCCCAGGAGTTTAAGGTTGCTGTGAGCTATGATGACATCATGGCATTCTGGTCAGGGTGACAGAGTGAGACTGTGTCTCAAAAAAAAAAAAAAAAAATTGAGGGCGGTGCCTGTGGCTCAAGGAGGCGCCGGCCCCATATATTGGGAGTGGTGGGTTTAAGCCTGGCCTGGAAAAAAACTGCAAACCCCTCCCCCCAAAATTGGGGTCATATGTTCCCTCAGGTTGGCCCTTCTCACTCAGCATAATACCTGTAAGGTTCATTCAAATTGTGTGTTAACATAATAGAAATTAAAACAAATATGATAGCTGTGTTTAGCACCTGATGGGATCATGGGTGTATGCATATGTTGAACACTTCCAAATGTATACTTTAAATATATGTGAATTTTTTGGCAGCATCTGTAGCTCAGTCAGTAGGGTGCTGGCCACATACACAGCGGCTGGTGGGTTCAAGCCCAGCCTGGGCCTGCTGAACAATGATGACAACTACAACCAAAAAATAGGTGGGTATTGCAGTGGGCACCTGTATTCCCAGCTACCTGGAAGGCTGAGGTAAGAGAATTGCTTAAGCCCAAGAGTTTGAGGTTGGTGTGAGCTGTGACACCATAGCACTCTACTGAGGGCAACAT